TGTGCAATATCCGGTCATAGACTCTTTCCAGATCAACAAAGCAGAATCAAATTAACCAGGTGAGCGATTTCTCACGATTTCTTAACATGCTGTTGTACGGCAAAGGTACAGTCAGAGGTGCTTGGGCTTGATCCCATGTCACACTGCTCTTCTTGTATCTCAGAGTCAGTTGTTGTATTTTACCTCCTTTTTGACATATTTGCGTAGACTTTATCCGGAAGGTTGAATAATGTCATTTCCAACAATTGTAGCAGTTCCTGTGATCTCTCTTATTCAACTGAGGTACTGTCGCTCCAGCTTTTCAGTCCACCGGTGTTTTCCCCGTCGCCATTGCAGTTTGACAGTATTCGTCTTAACTAATAAAAGTACGCCTAAAGCGTTAAGCATTTCAGGGCGAATTTCATCGATTCCTGCAGCCTTGCCATTTTTCATGCTTTTAAACGTTTTTGTGACACCATACAGTAAATGACTAATATGGACTAGTGTTTTTTGCCTGATGCTTTTCGTGCGAGTCTTCCTGCCGTTGATCTAGGTTGGGGAGATCCTCGAAGTACTCTTTCCTTTGCCGAAGCAAGTCTTTATCCTTGGTAAGAGATAGTCCAGACTTGTCCTTCAGGGCTCTGAGATTTTTTTCTTTCCATCTCGTGAGTGGCAGATGGTCTGCCAGAATACTTTGCCTGCTGTCTGGAAATTCGACTCTGGCGCCTTACGGAACTTTTCCCATGCGTCAACTTTCGCTTTATCCACTGGTTTCGCTGCCATTTTTGCGCTTCTTTCTGCATTCGAATAGGATATTCTTCCTTTCAATCCATTTTTTGAATGCGGCCTTCTGAGTTACTTAAAAAGTTGTTAGTTCGATCTGATTGAACGTATTTTTGTAGTGGATGAAAGCAAAATAGAAAATTTGGTTGTTTTTGTACTTGAGTGCAGGTTGTAGAACTTTGAGCGGATCGCGTTAATTTGATGGCAGTCATAGTACGTGCTACTCTTTCATCTTTCAGCATGTTCGGAATCGACTGTTTTATGCGAATATCTCGTTGCATCTTTTGCAGGCTTTTCTTCTGCTCCTTAATCTCTTTTGATCAATTTTTAATTCACTTTTATTTCTCCTGTAGTTTTCATAGTCTTCCCTCAGTTTCTTTCGTATCTCTTTGCACATAACACGTTGTCCATTTCATATTGAACTTTAGTTGAGCGCTTCTATCAATAACTTTCCTTAATAGGTGACGGAGTTTTTGGTTTATCGTCGGCTTTGCTGTCCCGTTTGATGTTTTTTAGGCGGTCTTGATCGTATTGAATAAATGGTCACAATCATCCTCTGCGTCTTTGCTGATGTTCATTTCAAGGTTAATGAATGGAAACTTCTCATTGGAAATCTCCTAATCGAATCACGCTTCACATTGCTTTGATCTTTGCGTAGAAGCCGCTGATCTGACCTGATACAAATGATATGCTCACTTGTGACTGGCTCGTTGGTTATTATTTTCCTATCCATCAATACACAGTCGATTTGGTTCAAAGACTTCGTGTTACCGTTTCTCCGGTTCCACTGTCTCTGTGAAGTTTTCTGGAAAAGGCTTCGTGACGTGGAGGCGATTGCTTTCAGCGAAAGTTTCGAAGTTAGCTCTACGTTCATTTTTTCGCTCCATCTTGTTTGCCGATGAATATATCAGCGAAATTTGCTGTGAACTTTTACATTGCGACTTCGAATTCCTCGTTTACTTGCTCGTCTCATCTTCATCTTGAGACAGCATGACCATATGTATTGCACCGTAGCAAAATACATGATCATACCACAACACCGTTTTATCTATGATTTCTATCAAGTCCCGTTTTTCGGCGGGCTACATCGAAGCAGAGTTGGAAGATTTTCTTGCTCAAGAGAAATAGCAGTTAGCCAGGGAAAATTTGTGCCGCCCCTGGGGTCTGGACCTGGTATTTTCAAGTGCAAGGCAAACTGTCTAACCGTTGCATTACTGCCCTCTTTCGGCATTTCCTGTGAATGCCATTATATAGGATAACGAAGCAGTCATTGCTTGCTCGATCGACAGCCGGAATTCACAGGATGACTTATATCACGAGCGCCCATAAACTTTGCGCCAGGCTCGGGATGGGTTTTGCCGAAGATCATGCAATGGCAGAAGATCGTGAACTTTAGCAACGTTCTCTTGCTCTCCTACCCCTGAATCTGAATGGAATATAGGCATCCGGAGCTGATTGTCAGAAGTTCTTTAACAGATGTGCTGATCGTTTGCAGTTACTTTGGCCATTCTTTATGCGAGTTTACAAACATTATCTACAAGACTTTATTTTGCCACATTTAAAAGAAAATTGCTAGCTGATTAAGCAGCGAGGCATTTGCATTTTCATATATGGTTAGTCGGTGGTTGAAAGGTGGAATTGCGCGATACTTAATAATGTTAAATATTGTCTTTTTCAGACGTTGCTTATGATTTGTCTTTGAAGTTAACGGCAACAAATTACTGCGTGTAACCTATAAGTTAGAAGTGTTTTAGGTACAAGAAAATTCCCCTGGTCAGCAGGCAGGACTGGAACCATTTTTTGATTTCATCATTGGTGTAGGAAACCAGCGATTGGTAAGATAGATTTTATTGTTATTTCATGGTTCATAAGTTGTTTTGGTTTTAATAAGTCTAAGGGCTCTCAGAGTTTTTGTTAATTTGTATTTATGGAGATTTAAATAAGTATAAACACAGTTTTGAAAAGGCGTACTGCTAAGTTAAGGCTTTGAGAATTTACTAAACTGATACCTGAGGAGTCGATCCATTACTTTAATTAGTTAATCCATGCAGATGTTAGGTTGCACACGATTATGCACCAAGATACACAGTCAGACAGCAGTTGATTGGATTACATGATGGTTTTTCTCTTTTTCTGTGTAACGTTGTTTGCATTATTATTATTCGAAGTAATGCTTCAGTGTGACAGATAATATAATTTGCTGTTGTGCTGAAATGTTAAATAACGCTCAGTCCATGTTTCTTTTAAATTTGCCAGGAAAGATCAGTAACCATCGTGCAAAAAAATCAGTTGTATATTCTCAGTTTAATACTGATTCAGAATTGTGGAATGTGTTGCGAATGCCTCCAGAAAGGAAGGCTAAGCAACTGTTCCTTGCAAATTCGACCGGCAGAAGGCCCAGGGGATGGCCAAGATTAACCTGGTGCAAATATATGGAAGGAGTCTGTTCCAGACTTCATTTGTCTTTTGTCGAAGCTCAGACTCTGGCACAGGATGAGGGACATTGGAAGCTTTCTCTACGTGTCTGCCTTCGCGACCCGAATGGAGAAGCGGCGATGGAAGATGATGAAGAATTGTGGAATTTTGTTTTTAAATTGGCTCATGCGCAGAAGCTAATCATCGATTTGATCGTCGTAACATCTGACTTACGACGCTTTGCAATGGACGTTCACGTTGAGATGGGCGCTGAGCTATTAGCCGATCATCTGATTGTTGGCATTATCAGCTGTAAAACGTAGAATACCATGCAAAGACCTAACGGCAGAAGGAACCAGAGAATCAAATGGG